TCAGATATGGATTCCAAATGGATCGGACGCCGGTGAAAAATTGCGAACACTTGAAATTTGGCTGCGACGCGTATTGGGAATGCGCCGTGAAACACGAGACCTCGCCAGAGAATCATCAAGCAGGTTCTTGCAAAATGGGACCACCGGATGATCCTCTGGCAGTGGTAGACAATCAATTGAGAGTGAGAGGAGTGAGAGGAGTGAGAGTGGCGGATACCAGTATCATGCCAAGGGTCGTTTCCGGCAATACAAACGCGCCAGCTATTATGATCGGTGAACGGGCTGCGGACTTCATCAAGAGAACCTGGATCGGCTGAACGAGGTTTCCTCACGAAACGGAACTTCCACCGAAATCGAAGCGACATCGTTCACTAGAGGAAATTTATAGTTGACCCCGTAAGCTTGACCTCGTAAGATACGAAACTTTGAACCGGAAGTTTAATTCTTAGAAGCGACCGATGACCGATTTGCTTGTGAGTTACAACGAATGATAAAGTCTTGAAACCTGACATCTTTCATCGAAATTTGACATGTTGAAATAAAATTTAATGATCGATTTAAAATGATTGAAATAGGCGTTCAAATTTAATTTAATCGCTGTTTGAAAATTATTTTCGATTCGATAGTATTTGAGTTTTGACACTCGAGGAACATTTGAAGAAAAAAAACTATTGTTTACGTTTCTGAATTCTTTGAAAGCGGTTCCATTGAAAAATCAATTGACAGGTTTCGCGGAAAGTTTAAAGATTAGAAAATACGGTGAATTTGATTACAAATTTCTTTCGGCAGAAAGAAAAGAGCTGAGGTAGCGCTGTGCGCATTTAAACATAAATAATTAATGCTATGAAATGTATGAAGAATTTAGTGGAAATGTTAGAATTTGTTCAAACGAAATTATGATAAACTTGAAAAATCTTAGGCCATTTTTAATGGCAGCAGCTACCTCGGCTTTGAACCCTTTTTATTTAGGAAAAGGGGTACGAACTACTGTAAATAGAGTTCAGCAATAGCATCAAATATAAATACTCTAATTAAACATGTAATTATTAATGTTATTAAGTTACCCATTATAACAAATATTTTCTTTTGAGTTTTCAAAATTTGTTATTTCAGTTACTAACAAAAGAGGAGATGATAAAAATTAAAGAAAATAATGTGATTTATGAAGGAAAAAATAGCTTAATAATACAATGTTCAATTAGAAATTACCCTAAAAATAGTAATATTAATAATATACTTATTAATTAATTTTAAAAATAATTCAAATGCATTTTGCAAAATTTAGAATAATACTCCGAATTGTAGTAAGTAATAGTCGTCATATACCTATAACCTATTAATAATAAATAATAACAAATTATTAAAATGTATTTTTAGAAAGACATCTACTCTTCAAATAAACAGGTAAGTCAACTTTTTCAATTTTCTTTCTGTCTCTCTCGCTTCAGACATTTGTTTTCTTTACTTTACTTTTGCAGTTTAACGTGACTAATGATTTTTGATAAAATTCTAAAAACAGCTCGAACGATAATATTCATTTCCAGTAGGAGGAAAATAGCAAATTTCTCGGAAATGGAAATCAAATAGTCACTTTGGACATTGTAATAGGTTTTGTTGGTCTTTGAAAATATGTAGAATGAATAATGCATTATGATTCTATAAGCGCATCCAACACCAACGTCGTTCATAATCTTTCTCGAGGTTTTCTTAAAGTTTATCTTAAAGTTTATATATTTACTTAATACAGTCATATCTTACTTACAATAGAACAAATGAAAATAGAACGAAATTTCAAAACTTTAAAACTTAATATTAATTATAAAACTATTTTATCATATAAACGAAATTTTCCAGAATTTAAATAACAAAAATTTGGAAGTCAGATATATTTCGAAATGATAAATGTTTTCTTTCTTTTTTTCTTGTGTAGATTGCACGAGGACAACTTTTTATCAGTCTTCTATTTCGTTAGAAAATTCTTTTTGTTTTTTTTTTTCTTTTCTTTCTTTCTTTCTCGTGAGACTGGAATGTAACAATTTGAGAATCCCGGCAGAGTTAAATTAATAACTATCAAAGTATCCGGCGCAAGTTATCAACCAATAATAGTTTACCAACCGATATAAGATCAAACTCTTGGCAAGAATCTCACGGAACTTCGCTATTGTCCAAGTTGAATCAGAGCTCATCGTTCAGAATATTGTTCCACGGAATCCAAGACCTATTGAACTTATCTCGCAGTACAGAAATCGGCGTGCATCAATTCGTAGATCAATGGATCCTTCCTCGTCATAGTGCCTGATATTTGAAGATGCACGTTCTGCCAGCCAACTATTTTTCCCACACTGATTTAGCAATCATAGTTTAGTTTTGCTAAGACCATAGTCTCGATACAATCATCTTCCTCGTCGATAGCATTCGAATTTAATGCACGTGTATTTGTGGTAAACGTTCGTTACGTCGTAAATCAGTCTTCGTTAGCCGACATTTGCAAGTGAAATTCGTGACTCGTTAGAAAAGAATTTTCCATTAATCCATCGTGAGAATATTGTACTCGATTAATTAGTTGTGTTCATTGGTAATGGTGATTCATGGGATTAGCAAACATCGAAGATCACTGAGTTTGTTTTTACAATATTCACGAGGAATACAATCAATTATAACTGATTAATTGTTTTATAAACACGAATTTTTTTTTCTATTTTGTAATGCACATTATATATATATTCGTTGGTCTCTCACTCTCTTTTATATTAAATATAAAATTCTGGTTTATTAAGTAAATCCTTTGGCTCTTATACTTTCCTTTATTCGTCACTGTACATTCTATGGTTAAGTTTCTCATAAATGCACAAAAGTCCGCATATTATGTTCACGATATTGCGTAGCTTCTGTTTATTTTCTATCTCACAATTTGCAGTTCGACTAGGACAACGTAAAGAGCTGATAACATAAGAAGTCACACCATGTACCGAGATTCGTTCTGCGAGCACTCCTTTCATTTCCCGGTGGAAATAGGATGTCACTCTCTGCGTAAGATTCCAGCTTTTACCGGCTGTGTTTTCATGTCATTCTACTGCTCCTTTTGCAATCCGTTCGTCTGGAAGACCATGTAATTATTCTTTGAGATGCCGGAGGCGAGATATTATCAAATTTGCCAATTTTCCTTCACTGATATCCCACAGACATTAGGATAAAGATAAACATAAATAGTAATAAAAAAAAAAGCATTTGAAACTGATCTTTATGAAAACATTTGAAAGAACTTTTTATGAATTTTTTAACGAATAAATGAACGAAAATTTGTGTCTGAATTTGTAAATTCGAATTATAGATATATGTACTAAATGAGGTATTTAAAAGTGAAAACTTCTATGAGATTAATGATATTTGTTGAATAGCTTGACGTGAGGTAAAGAGATAATAATATACGGAGGAAAAAACGGTTTACCTTGAAATGAAAAAAAATATTTCTTAATAATGTTCAAAGATAGGTGTGACTAATGTCTCATAATATAATATGACTAATGTGAAACAGCAATTTCAGTGTAAAAGTAATCAGGCACGCTCAGAGAAGAAACTTTTGATCTCAAATGTTAATAAAATCTTCGCCAATATTTAGTTTACTGCTTCTTAGACAAAGAATCATCTGTGCGTTGAATAAATAAAATTTATATTTCCACCAATTGATTCAATGATATCATCACAAACAAATACATAAGTAACAGAGTGTCTGGATATTAATGAAAGTCACTATCCAGAAGCATGATTTATTCTTAGAGAATTCTTCTAACTAATGAAATTATTATAACCGGCGTGGAATTGTTGAGTTCATCGACACTGAAAAATGACACGTGTCAAATATGTCAAGCACATAGATGTTACCGTGAAAAGACACTATTTGCATAGCGTGTTACACAAACGCTTAATTTAAGATTGAGATTCCGTAACGTTCTTTACTCAGATGCAAATCTTGAAAAACAAACGTTTATCTCAACATCTTAAATCTTGTAAAATGCCTATTTCTCCAAATAGAGATTCACGAAATAGAGATGAAGCACTTTGAATAAAAGTTTCTATTTATTTCCTGGCGTCAAACACGTACTAATGATATCTTTCATCTCATTAAATATTAATAAACAGAATTAATTTCATTGTGATTTACAGATAGATTTAAAAATTTGTCAGAGATACGAATTTCGAGGAAATTTCTCATGTAGAAATTGAAACGAAAAAAAAAAGTTAAGAATAATACGTCTTATTTCTCTTTAATATCACATTGAAGAACATTTCATACAGTAAGAATGACGAAATGGTAATGAATAAATCATTTAAATTATTAAAGGGAATTCGTGTAAATGTGACATTGGTGGCGCCTGCAAGCTGCGATGCGATGGCTACTTTTGCTGGCATTTCATTTATATATCTTCCGGATATTCTCTCTCACTGAATTTATCTCTGTGACCCAGTTCGCGTTTAGTCTTACCCTAGAATATTTTACCAATGCTAGAAGGCCAGCAAGACAACTGCAGAACGTGGAAGCATTGGAGACATACATGCATAAAATTTCACATCTTATCACGTTTATACATTTTTTATTCTTCCGCTTTTTCGTTTCCATATATCCTTTTAAATAGTATGCAAAATAATGCAGAACATACAAGCACATGTATATACAATATGTA